TCTCCCAATTGTACTCTGTCTGTTTGATTATGCGAATACTGTCTCTGCCTGACCAAGCTGTCTCGTCCCGCGTGCAATATCCACGGAATTCGTGTCTTGGGTTCTCTTTTACCGTTCGTAACTACGACCACATCACCCCACTTCTCATCGAATCCGGCTGGCTCAACATGACACAAAGGTGGATCTTACACCTCCATTGTCTCGTGCATAAAGTCCACGAGTCAGGCAGACTTTAAATTCTACGCAGGATAATACACTACACCTCCAAATTTCATAAAAAAAATGACGTTCGATATACTGCATGCTGATCAACGCCATCGATATATGGAATAACATTTATTATTTCATCCAAAGTCGATAAAACGTAACGAAAAAAAAGTATTTGTGTCTTGAAATGTTAAAGTTTCATTAAACCCTTATGCTGTAAAAAAATTGACAAACATTACTTCTCGTTTTACCATTTTACACGAGCCTCTCTCCTTAAGTTGTTGCAATTAGCTAACACCCTATATAATCGAAGAAGCGGTTGTTTATTATACTCTGATCTCGTATTCGTTATTTAAAACGTTTATTTATATAAGAATGTTAAGCATTTCCGGTCCCGGAGGTAACGGGAAGAGGTTATCGCGGCTGATAGAATTGGCGCGAAACATTTTACGAGCATGCGCAACGTCCTCTTTGGTCGTTTCTCGTTCACGGCGTGGTTTTGTTGTGCGTCGACCTTTACCTAACGGATCCCTCCGAGTCGTAGCTATCCCCCTTAACTTCGCTCGGCTCCCTCGACCTCCCTCGGAAACCGCCACCGCGCAGCCACCCCCGTCGCCAACCCTGACCTGATTTATGGGATTCTCCAAGTGTCTACCCTGCCGACGCGCGTTTTCGAGCCTCCCTTCCCCACGCTTTCTCTACGGTCTGGGTTGTTCGAGCGTAGACAGCTGGCCGGCGTTTCCACGAACCCGCGCGCGTTCACTTTTCGACGTATCCGTTCCGTTCTCTGTTCCGGCGCGTCTCGCGTCGTACCGCGCGGAATTTAAACGATACGCGCGCTCTAATACGGTTCACGCGCGTTTCTCCGGCCCCCGCGTTCCGACGAAATGGCGCGACCAGAGGACCGTCGAGTAAATCTTGGACGTTGAAAGACGTCGGGGAGCGAAGGCCGAGCGATTCGCGCGTCGTTCGGCCATTCCTCTGACAACGTTACTCTTCGCACCCCTGTCGCCCGCTTCTCCACCCCCTCCGTTTTCCTGGGTAGATACGGCCAAGTAATATACGAGCCCTGCATCTGTTCCCCGAGTGACGCAACGTCCCGCCATAGATCACACCCAGGCTTTTAGAGAGTGAAGGCTGTTAAGGAGAGCGGAACAGAGAAAGAGAAACAAAGAGAGCGAGAAAGCTTGGCATGGCAAAGGGAACAAAGAGCAGGAGGAACAAGGACGGGCATGAAAATTCTACGACGCGCGAGCGAAACGACGCGACGGGGACGATAAAGGCGAAGGAAACGAAGACCAAGGGACGAGAGAGTACCCACCACGGAAAGAGAGACGAGGAGAAAGAGAGGCTGACAGAGTGACGTACTGTTACCGTTAAACTCGGCTGCAACGTAAAGAACACGAACGGGAGTGCGGCTGCGTCTCCGGTGTGTCGTGAGACGACGCCGTGTGCCGGGTGCGGGACGATAGAGGTAAAACGTAAGAGCGGTTGCTGCCAGTCAGAGCTCTCTGCTAGACCAGGCCTCGCCGAACTATGGCCCGCGGGGCAAACCTGCTCTGTATAAATGGCTCATCTACGTTTAACGCTAGATTTACGGAATCAGTCCGTTTCAACGGGTACCATTCTTCGAGCCACGGAACTCGTAAATATCATTTCTTAGTAATTCGCGTTGAGCTCGATCGATCTGACACTGTAGCGCCCGTTTAAATGACCACAAATCTGTCCGCTCAAACGTCCACGAGTTATCCCCGTCGTTCCTTGGAATTCCTAGCTCGGTGTTATCTACGACCTGCATCGATGGACTGCTGTATTTACGTATCACTGTCTGCACTATAGGCGACCGATTCCTGAAATAAACCTCACCGCGTAAATGGCCGCTTCCGGTACCGATCGTTGGCCATTTAACGCGTTCACTGCCAGATAAAAGCTTGTAAAATTTGTTTCGGTACTTATTTTCGTAACATTGTATATTTTATTCATCGTGTAGTAATTACGAAAGCATCAGCAGTCCCCCGTCTAGCTATCTCGCTTGGTTCATTCTACAACAAACCGCCATGTTATTATAAGCGGTATCCGTTTCGTGGATCACCGAGTAAAACGTTCCAAAGCATATTTCCGCGTGAATTCGGGAAATGAACCGATTCGCCGATAGGTTTCCAAGAAATGTAGGTTAAGGAGAGTATCTCGTGCAAAAGAGAGCCCGAGAACGGCGGTATGGTGGCTCCGAAGGCTAGGGAAAACGAAAGGGAAGGGCGTCGTGTCGCGTCGCGTCGGTGCGATACAGCGCGACGTAGAAACCATTCAGCCAAGATATACGAGCGAGAGTTTGTTTGCGCTTATGGCCTGCGTCTGGAAGGTGGTACGAGAGGGACGAAAGGGACGGAGCGGGGTTGCCGCTTTATCGGAGCACCCTTATGCCTATTATGCCTCCTCATCCCCCATCCCCCCGGTGGTGGTAGCGCTTTAACGCGGCCATCCCCTTACCGCACGCTCACGGCATTTCGTCGTTCGTCGTTCGGTTGACCCGCGCGCCTCCCCCCCGACCCCCCGTCACCCCGACACCGACACCGACACCGACGCCGACGCCGACGCCGACGCCGACGCCGACGCCGACCGACGTCCACCGACGTTCACCGATGGCCGGGTGACGCGGCGCGCGAATTAAAACGCCTCATAAATATCTAAAACAAAGGCGGCCGTTTTCGAGGGCGTACGCTGAAAAGATATACGGCCGGTTAGGACGGCTGTTAACGGCCGGATAAGAGTGGGATCGAGACGCACGAGCGGGGAGGAAAATTGGTCGTGGATGCACGATTCTCTAGCCACCCTTTGGAAAAACGCTTTCAAGAGGGTGGAGATCTTTTTGCGGGTCGAAACGGTCCGGACGCAAAAAGGAAGAGCAACGTTCGGAATGGCCCCGTTTCGGTCGATGGAAAAGAAAAATTTTTACTGGGAACAAGTATCCGTATGTTGATCTAACCGTTCGCGGTTCGAAATATTTTTGATACTCCGTTTTAGCAGGACCGTGCACGACTCAATTATTTTTGCGTAGAAGTTTTCCCGTAAAACGAGAATCCGTTTCCTAAAGTTACTGATAAAGTTCAATTTACTGGAAAATATTTAATACAAACGGAGCGATAAATTAGAAAAGTATATTTAACTGTCATTAGAATTTTAGATTAGTATATCTTCTTACAGATTTATGAAGCAACCAAAAGCGAGATGCGTGTATTTTGTTTTAACAGTGGTAGCTCGTATTTAAGGAGTAATCTTTAAAAATGTTATATTCTTGAAAATAATAATCAAATTCTTATGCATGTAACGAAACATAGGCTGTAATACTTTTCGGAGGTAGCGTGTATCTACAAATTTTTCATGTATCATTTAAGTAAATGGATTTTTTAATCGCCGTTTACGTGGCTGATTTTGTGGTTTAAAAATACATTTCCCAATGGAAAAAGTTGACTTTGGAACTTTTTTCCGTGAGAACGCGCAATCATATGGAATTTTCTTCCAAGAACCGTCCCTCGGGGGAAGTCGCCAAGTGGCGACTTTCTCACGGAAAATCGAGCTATTAAAGAATGATGGGTATCAATTTTGAAGTATCGATTTTTACCAAACAGAGGACGTTATATTTCTGATATTTATTTTACTATTCTATTTTTAAATTTCTCTTGTCTCGTTTCTCTTGTATTACCAAAGGAACATATTATTATTATTCTTAGTTGGAGAATCCTTTGGCACAAAATGCATAATGTACAGGTATAATTATAATACAAGAATAGAAAAAGAAAACTATATCGTTTGCTCGACAATATTATATGTGTCATAACATCTATACTTCACCCCAACCCATCGATAGTTGTATAATTCATATTTAACTTGAAATTATTCAAATACTATTATGTATGACACATAAAATCAGTTCGTGGTATTCAAATACGCGTACAATTAATACATTTCATAATTTTCGAAAATACCATCGAGCACGCGATATCAACATTAATGTAAATTACGAAAATATTACACTGTTTCTGTAAGTTGGTCTTGGTAAATCGTACAAACCGTCCAGGGTTATTCGCCAGAACACGGCCTCATTCTTAGCATAATGCAACCCGCCATACATCACCAGTGACACTTTGAATTATTGAAAAATATTCTTGAATATGTATTCTTTTCATTAAAGGAAACTGCTAAGATCTTTCGTTCAATAGTTCGTTTTCGTAGAATCTCTTATTGTTAGATATACGTAACATCGTTGCGTGAACCGTAACATGGAAATTAGCAAAATTTTATTCGAATAATAAACAAAACCTATAACACCAACGTGTAGCAATTTATTCATCGTGTTCATTCGATCGAAAAGATATAACTTTTATTTTTTATTCTAAAATATAACATTCTATTATTTAAATTTTTACTTTTATTTACTAAAGAATTTACAAATACAAGAATCAGAAACCTTGTACTGGAATGTGGAATAATAAAATTCAGGTTCGGATAAGAATGGACCCAGAGTCCGTCAGTGCGAGGGCTAATTAGGTGTCGCGTTTACTATGATATTTAAATGTTCGACGTATTTGTTGCATCTTCCCGTCGCGTGTCGATTAAATAACTATTGTTTAGAATGTTAAAATGCATGGTACGTGAAAAAAATGTCAGTTTCTCGAATGTCGTTGAATCGCGGTTGATTGACGCGGGCGGGGCTCGAACCAATTCTTGGATCGATCGTCGACGATCGCGGTCGGAATAGGACATTTCTCTGACCGTTCTGACTTTTTCTCTTTCAGGTAAGTAGTGGTCTCCGATCGTTTGAAAAGCGAGCGGCTAGCAGCCGCCGCAACGGACGGGAGACATGCGCAGCAAGCAGCAGCCAAGGCCTTCCTTTCGGTGGCCGCAGCAACGCGGCGATAATCTTACCGGTAAATATCTATTCTCCAACGCAACATATCGACACGCACGAACCACGCATGCGTGTATGTTACGCACGCATTTTTATTTTGTATCTTGTTGCGCTTCCCGCGTCACGACGCGATCCACGAGTCGTCTCCGCGTACCTTTCTTTATTCCTCTTTTCAGTGTCGTTGTTCTCGCATGGAATCGTAACTCGCGGTCCGGATCAACGATCTATAACCGGGGGCCACAGACGTAACGGGTTTTCGTACGATAGATCAGACGACGGGTAAAAATTTTGGATTCGCCGCACGTTAATTAAATATAAAATATCTCAACTATAGAATAGCGTTTTGCGAACGAATACGTAAACATCTGACTGTTCGATCGAATAAATTGCTATGCGTTGGTCTTATTTTTGGTTGTAATTAGAAGAAAGTTCTGTCCATCTTAGCAACAGGATAAACGTAATTAAAAGAAAATGCAAGATCGTATTAAAATTAGTTTAGTTCCAACAAAATCATCCGTTGAAGATTTTTTAATTTCTTTTTTTTTGTTAATCTATGTGTAATCAGTGACGTTGGTTGCTATTGAATGCATCAATTATTTATTTTCACTTGTCGTTGATACGACTGTTTAAACGAGAATTATGAAGTATGTGGGGTTATTGTACAGTGTTGCGGTCGTGTTGGATACATAGAACGCTGCCATAAAATCTGGCGCACTGCAGGTTTGATGAATGACAGAGTGGAACGTATGGAGCTGCTCGGCGGCCAGTTGGAAAGATTCTCTTCATGATTTCAGCCTCGAAACAGAAGCATAGATACGAAAGTGTTTCTTCTTAAGGTTAGTTGAACTACTTTTTGGTAGGAATCATCGAACAACAGGTCGTTACGTCTGTGGGGGAAAAATAACGTGATGTCGGTACAAAGTTGCACTGAACGTACAATAATCGTTGCGTCTGTGCCCCTTTAGACGAGAACTCGTCGAAACGTCAAGCGGTCGACAAATTCAATGAACGTCATTCTTGAATTGTTCAACGATTCCGATGTTCACGCGTATCCTTGCAACGGACAAGGACGAGAATATTTCACGACGCGAGCTTCATTGACCTACATCAGTGATTCTTAAGCACTGCGCCCCCAACGCAATGCCACGAAAGATAGGCGAAACAAATTTTTTCCATTACGGAGTTTTACAAGCAATTTATTATTACATTCTTCTGATGTTGATTATTCAAGATTAATAATTACGTCAGGTTTCGTTTTTAAAAATATTAAGAGACACTGATGTTCTGGATGTTTGCGCCAATTCCTGCACGCACTTGTTTGTCGCTGTGTCGTTATTTATAATCGTTTTCAACTATTATTACCGGTCACGCTATCGAACGCAACCGTAGTGTTTGTGAGAAAATTTACGTAGCAGTAACTTGGGCAATTATTTACACTAGCGAAAACCTTGTCGATGATTTTAACCTTACCGATTAATTTTTGTTGGTAGTTTTACTTATTCTAATTAATGATTATCTCAGGAAAGAAATCTTGAATCGATCCATTTTAATCTGGATGATCAGGATGATGTACCCCCTCAACCTTTAGCTGGTATAATCGATCGCGTAATTGGTTTTGTTGATGTTTTCTAAGGAATAGAAAGTACAAAGAACTCTTAAACTTTATTGTCTTTAGTGTCGATCCTGAGCGACTCTATGAGTCTGTGGCTCTTATTTTCGAGAAAAAATAAAAAATGTGGGGATCCTGGTTCTGTCGTACAGTGGTCGCAGGACAACGAAATACTCGATCCACCTGCGACTGGATCGACGTACGCGAGCACGTAATCGGCGCAACTGGTTCTGGTCTTTTGGACTCACGAAACGATAATCGTCGAACCGAGCCGCCGCGCCGTTTCCTTCGCTCGCTTTCCATTCGAAGCGACCCTGCCGCGCGTTCTTATGTGCCCGCGACTGATTTACGACTTCTCCGTCGCAGATATCCAGCGAAACGTTTTGATGGGAAATCGTTGTTCGGTTCGACGTGATAATCTATATTCGCGTATGTTCGGTACCTGGTCGCGCGATAGCTGTCCAGGGTCTAACAACAAGAACCGACGCAGACGGTACGCGGCTCGAGCTTTCACTTTGTCGACAAGGAGCGCAAGATTTACGTTGCCGATGGACAAGTTCGATTCGCGGACTCACGTCGGACGAAAGTCGACGATGGTTCGACTTCGATCGAAATCGGACGGAAGATCGTTCGTCGAAAGGTGCGGTTTCATTAGCGGTTTATCTAGTCCAGCGATGGCTAAACTTTTTTAGGAGTGAAAAAAAAATCTTTGTGGTCTGGTATAATTTATCGTAAAGAGCAACAAAGACTCGAAAGAATTTCTGAAAGTTCCTCATAATCTGCGAGTTCCATTTTTTGTTGCAGATTCTTTTCGAGGGTCGCTAGCGATGCATTAAAAAGATCTATTTCATCCGTACGTGATTTATACGATGACATAAATATGTATAAATAATTAGAAGCGTTTAAAAGTAGAAATCAGAATTTATTATTTAATATTTTTGCAAACTCTCTTTCAAACGTAAAGTTGGTCATTCTTAACACTTTGGACAATAATAGCATGTTTCAAAACATTTTTAAAATCTTTTGTACCGAACCGGGAGTACTGTTCGAAATATTTATTATCATTGAAAATATTTTTATGTATAGAAATAAAACGTAAAACAGATCAAGGTAATCGTAAGCAATGTACGCCAAGTTTATTACCGAACGGATTGGAACGCACTGCCTGATATATAATGTAAACCTTCATTGACATTTTGTCTGTGTTTTAAGTTTGTTTTACTTTTTTGCCAAGTTTAGTGTTTCGACTGTTGTTTCTCGAGTTTTGCGAAAAATCATCATCATTTTTTCGGCGGGGAAGCGATAACGACATATTTGGGAGACACTCCGAAGAAAGATCCCGCATGAATTTTTAATTTCCAGGCTATGCAAAAAATGGGAATGTTTTCAACATCCTTCTCTGTTACGTGGTCGAGTATTTTTCGCGATGTCCAATCGGGAGAGAGTTGACCGGCGCGACGCGGCGGTTGGCGAATCGAAGAAAACGAAAAGTCGCGTGAGCGGGCAAGCAGAAACGAGGGGGTGGAACGATCGAGGGAGTCGGGGATCGAAGGGAGCGTGGACGTCGAGGACAAAATACGGGATCGAACGTATCCGCGACAGAGATCGGACGTCAGCCAAGAAGAGTGTATAGATATATAACGCGCTCAGGTAGACAGGTAGTACGCGTGCACCCGTAGGATGGAACGGTAATAGAAAGAGGGAAGGGGAAACTGGGTGGAGGGAAAAAGGGGGAACGGAGAACGCGCGAAGGGCACATAAGTCCGCCGCTGACATCGCCGCAATCCTCGCGTCGGGCTCGAGTATCGACAGATATTTAAATGAATATTCCTCCGCTGTTAGGGGCCCGCTCTTTGAAATCAAAGCAGAAAGTACAACGGTTCATTTAGACGTCCGCCGATATTCCGCGGCTGCCTGGACCCTGGCATACAGGATTTCGCTTGTCACGTCATTCGTGGGTTATCGTCGAGACCGGCACGACCCTCTGCTAGGGGCTATCGGAGACGGGAGTCGCGTGTCCCTCGACGACCGCGTTTGTCCGGTGCACGCACCCAGACTTGTACCTTGTCGACGGTTATCCGCTTGCTCGCGACGATCGCTCGATATCCTTCGCCCGTCTCGAGTACGACCTCCAAACTTCTCCCGATCACGATCTTCCTTTCGATTTTCATATATTTCACCTACTAGTACCTCGATAAGCCCGACACACGAGCACTCTGCAGGGTTAATAGCTAATTTTTACGAGTATATTCATCGTGATGAAATGGCAACGTTTTCTGTTACGACGAGTATACTCGTCATGAAGAAATGGCAACGTTTTACAGTTTGCTGTATAAATTGTAGTTTTAGCAAAAGCTCAAATATATATGTTTAAGTTAAGTAAATAAATAATAGTAATTTCATTGCAACGTAATTTTGTATGACAACAGTCACGCGTACTCTGTGTCCGACGAGTATACTCGTCATCGCTTAATTTAGATCGCAACGACTAACTGGTTAAAAAGATAACGAGCGAACCGAAAGGAAACCCACCGTTTAAGCTTTCGAGAGTATGTCGTGTCTTTATAGAAGAAGAATTCCAACGTTTCCCCAACATTCCAGCTAATTTCATCGGGAGGTCAAGCGACACGTTCGTCAAGCTCGCGTTCTGTATCATTGTTCGCCAATAGTAGTTATTCAGGTTCCGGTTCATTGCCCACCAATAAAATTGCTTTTCAATTGATCAGCCGAGCAATTAAAAAACTAGCAGATGGAAGCTCCAAATTGAGTTCATCCGGTGGCCTGTATCTCAATGGCCTCTCTGTACTCCCTGGGAAAATAGCCTCTTTTCTAGCATCGTGTCATTGAAATGTATTCGTCACAATAATGTGAGCACGTGGAAAAATACTAGAGTATTATCATACTATTTTGCGCGTTCTACACAGAACTTGTACCTTCTCTTTCGTTTTAGATCGTTCACTGGTGGGCCCCGAGAAATAACAGCGTGGTCCACTAGAGGTAGGATTACTAATCGGGCTCTTTTAAGGGTACTTCTACTCTTCTCGAGATGGTAAACCGACTTATTAGACGCTTTCCTTTTGGCCCTTCTCAAATCATTATCTTCTTCTAAAGAACGCCTTTCGTACTTTTTTCTTACAAGACAGAGGTGGTAATCCTAACTGGGAGGCCATATTGCCACCGTCGAAAATTGTTTTTCGACCCTTAATAGGTACCATGAGTGAAAATTCAATTGACAGAAATTTTGATGTTTCGTTTTATTAGTTAAATTTTATCTAATTTTCCTACAGATAAATTTGTGTCTTAAAGAGAATATAGTTTTATTTTTAATATTACAATTTAACACTTTCACTATGGAACTAAAACAATTAATTCCCAAGTTGAAACGTTAAAGAAAATAAATTTGAATGGGA